TCGCGAAGTACGATATAAAAGCAGTGTCTCCAGTCACTATCGTTTTGTGGGTCATGAAAAAAGTCCGAGATCCAAGGAACAATGAAGTTTCCCGTGCGTCTCGGGTCCCTGTCCAAAGCCGTGAGTAAAATGATCACTTTGAGCAGTGCTTATTGTTATACCCTGACGATTGTGCTTCACCGCTGGTCCGATTGTTTCTCATTTCCCTTGTTCGATAAAAATACACACGGTATAAGAAGGGCGGCGTTTCGAACTGAAAAGAAGAAAGAAAGAAAGAAAGAAAAACGAATAAACCGGTGTCACCGCGTTATGGAAGAGTGTCATTTGAACTATCGACCTTCCGCAACCATTCAGAACGTCTTTGCCTCGATAAACAACTTCTCATCTGACACCAGATAGCGACGCGTCTCCGAGACGGTAACCGTCGCCTGATGCCGACCCATTAAAGCACGTACTCTACACCAAGACCCTCTTCAATCCTTGACCCAACCGCAAATGCTTCGAAAGGTGAGCACCGTCCTCTCATCTACCTTCGGAACTCTTTATAAATCTGTTGCCCTTGGAAGACAACTTCACTGATAAGGGATACATGCATTGACCGCTTGCCCTATGACTTCTTTACTAACTCGTTGAATGCCGCACGATTTCATGGAGCAAAATTTAAAGTAGCATTGTTTAATATTTAGCATATTTAGCTAATATTTAACATTGTTATTATTGCACGTTAATCTAGTTGAATGTCATCGTATTAGAGAGTATTAGGTATAATATAGAAATGTTATCAAATAATCATCGTTTAATTCAGTGTAGTACAGTGATTCGATTTAGTTGGGGGTCACCGATGACCCCTAAGGCATTCAACGTGTTAACTGTGTTTTATATTTGATAACTTAAATAAACGCTAGAGTACTACGATTACTAACACCTTGGACAACTCAGCACTACATATCGGAGTCATTACGACAAATCAACCCTTGGACCCTTTTTCCTTCTAAGTCATTGCTTTCTCACTCTCTTCCGTGTTTTTCCTTTAACACTAGAATTACCGAGCAGATAAACTATCTCTTCGAAATTGTTCTATAGAAACCTCAACAATGCAATTATAGAGACTTCAGTTGGTGCAATTCAGTTTATCTATTGCTAAATCAGTTTCTCTAGTAGTGTTCCAGAGAAGCATCTGTTATCTGTTGAATAACTGGAAAAAATGAAATCAGGAATGGGTCATTTCGACCCATCCGGTGGTTCTAGTGTGAACACTAAAACTACCAAGAAATTGAAATGATTTATTTCCGAGTTTTTATAAAAATTAGAACAATACGTTTCTTGAGATTCGAGGAATAGAAAGAGGAAATATCAAATCTGCTTGTTTTTTTTCATTTTAATAAAAGGAATTTTTTGAACGTCTATCTTGTTTTAGTTTAAACGATAAAAAGTGTATCGGCTGAGAGCGGTTGTAACATTTCAAGTAAATCGAATGATTGGTTTGTGAGATATCTTCCTCGCCGACACGAAAACGTCGTCTCGAGAAAATGGCGACCGAGGTTTTACGTGCTGTAATAAAATCATAAAATGCTGTACAGGTAATATTCGTAAAAATGTTATTTTTAAAATTCGCTTCGTTATAGAGAACGTAATAACTGCATAGAGTGTCCTCGATACTAATAAATAAACTCGAGGAATTTAATATTTTTCTTACGAGTGATTAATCAAATGATTTTCTAATAATAATATATAAACATCCTTAACAGATTCATTTGGAATGTTTATTCACAAACAGATTTATTAATAAAGAAAGACGTATTAATAGCCTAATAAAAATCTAAGAAATCAATGATTAATCGAAAGGTTATATTTCTATTTTAAATCAATGAAAAAATAGTGAGCATCGTTTCGTAAATTGTTGCTAGACGTTCCACAAGTTCTCGTCGTTACAAAAATTTCAGAAAGTCAGGAAAATCATTTTATTATTGAATGCGACATTCTGGAGTTTATGTTCGTAAAAATATCGAGGTCCAGAAAAAAAACTGATTTTACGGTCAACTCAGAGTTGCCGACAGCGGCCGCGACGAAGAACTCATACCAAACTCCACGCTAGAGAACAAAAATAGAGATTTTACGAACTCCTGAAAGTTCTAGCGGATTTATTCACCTACTAGACTTGCATACATGGTTTCACGGTATGAATAAACTTTCACGAAAAGATTTCCGGTTTAATCGTTCCTTTTTTAAACTCTGTCGTTACTCTCTCTCGAAACGCTTTTTTCTGTCGAAAGGAAATAAATTTGCTCTCGACGTTCTTCGTTTTTATTTCAAGTTATGACACGATGAACAGATATGTGAAATTTTTGGAACACAAAGGATGCCCACAAATCATGTCGTATACAAATTCCATTGAATTCTGTATCTCTCATATAATAAGGCAACCACGGGAATTGATAAATCAATATCACTGAACAAGCTATGACATCCTATAGTACCAGCGATACTAACAATCGGGGAATAAAGCTTTTACGATCGACCTCTCAGGAACAAGGGACAAATCCACTCCAAAAGTCAAGGTTAATCAATCACATATTGGTATATAAGATTTTAAAAATACTCACTGAACAAACTAATTGATATTCTAAAGATTATTCAATTGTTTTTCACAAATTATTCGGAATTATTCGATTATTATATAAAAGACTATTTGCAGGAGCCGAAGAAAAATTTTAACAAAAATTTCAGTTTCGAATTCTTTGCAGTCAATTATATATATTTTCCGATGTAATTCACTGTTAAATTAAATATATTGTTAATTTCTGTGTAAATTTTCTATCAGTCTTATGGGAAAGTTTAAATAGTAATGAAAGTAATGAAAATAGTAATGAAAATACTCATTCACATAAGGCACATTAGTATTACTGAACACCAGGCGCATTGTCGACGTAATTTTATAAAATGGATAGCGAACACTTAAACGTAACAAAGTTCGTTGGTGCTCTCGGGCTAATTCAATACGACGTGAACTTTTGATCCTTGCGTCAAAGGAATAGCGTAACAACATATTACGAACAAGTGACGATGCACTCCTGCTTCATCGCTGCTCTACCTTTTTTTGTATCCCTTTCGCACGTTATAGCTGTTTCTAGATCAATAAAATAATACATAGAGAAGTTATCTGACTTCAAGAAAATTCCACCACAAAATCATCATGGACAGTAATGATTCTATAAGTAAAGATTATTAAAAACTATGTTTAAAACATATCAAATAGCGTATCAAACAATTTCCGAGATAATTAAATGTGAAAATAGTCCAAGTACGTATAGTCTTTAAAGGGAATCAGCTAATGTTCCCATTCACGATATTTTGTTTTTAATTATTATAAACATTAACGTGTGTGTATAGAACAAAGTGTCGAAGGTGGGATTATAATTCGAACCTAAAATTTTTCACCAGCTGAGTGACTATTTTGTCTATGAAAAGGTAGGTTAAAATTCAGTTAACCTCTATACAAGCAATTTTTACATGACACTGTATTTATAGAATACAATATAACGATAACATGCTTGAAAAATTGAGGAGACCCTTGCATGACACAACATTCTTCTTGAAAAGAGCACAGGTTTCACGAAAGAACTTCAAAGAAATGAGTCGATCCATATTACGAGATTTGTAAAGATCTCGCTCCAATAAAAGTAAACAGATGAAAATAATAGACTGCTTAAGAAAACCTGGAACATGGGAATAAAGGCAAGAGAAATTGCAGACGGAAGCTGCAGGTAGATATTTTCTAACAAAAAGAAAACAAGTTTAACGTGTAACGTGTAACGTGAACAGTAACAGTTTCATAATTACATATTTCAACATACTTCCACTTGTTTCGAATTCACTAAACACAGAATAACC